TCTGGTTCATGGCAGGTGACAGGTGTATGGGTGGTTTAATTATATTGAAAGATTCTTATTATATTTCTATCGAGAAAAATTATATCGAGGTCATTATCATGCCACATGCTAACCCAGAAATGCGCTCTGTTGACAGTTTTCTTTATGTACACCTAGCTGACACTAACACAGCCTAATACAACAACCCTGCAATCATTTCAATTTTCAGGAAGATTATGATTGACTTTGTTGATGGTTGATTCAACTTTGTGATCATTTCTCAGGTTGTAGTTTCTGCTGCTGTTGAATTGTACTGTGTCACATACTGAGTGGTGTAAGTAATATTCTGTCCATCATATTTATATCAGTGAGGGCACACTCAATATGCCAACCGTAGTGACACCAAACTTGAGTTATGCTCTATACCATCTCTTCTAGGTTAGATGAGAGTGCTAACATTAAAGCCCAGATGGCTTAGCATCAATCAGTTTCCCAGTTTCCCTTGTGCAGACTTAACCAGTCACTCATATCATCCATGGAAAGCCTCATCTTTCTGAGATTAGATCAGTCAACATTTATCTTTGTTCAGTGTGTAATGTCCTTCATGCTTCAAACAATCGACACAAAAGGATCAACCTCTCTGCGGACAGAAGGATTTGATTTTCATGCTAGGGATGGCATGACATGATTATCTCTGTAATGTTACAGTGATTCAAGCATATTGTTTCATGTTATTGCTTTCCATCATGGTATGGCTATAGAGAAATCTTTCCCCAGCTGTACATCTCATTATAACCGTTTGAGAGGTAGGCTTCACTCAACACACACATCACTAAACCCCCAATTGGTGATAATAGTGAGCAGGGATTTGGCTGTGTTGATAATATGACTTCTTCTCTGGGGCGGCCCTGACCTGCTGACCTGCTTCACCCTACTGGAAAAGGCGCAGCTATATTACCTAGGAATTTGGACAGGTGTTCATGTCAAGTTGTACATTACAGATTTAGCACCAGCAGGGTGCAGGTGATTAGGGAGCTTGCCAGGTTTATAGTTAGTGCAGATTTGGAGTCCACTTGCTCAGTTAATATGTTCAGCTAGGGAAATCTTAACATCATCATCGGACTGATAGCCTAGTTTACAACATTAGGGCTGTTTCCCTCCCCTGCCAACCTACTCACAAGTTGTCTCTACCTCAATATGTGAATTACAAAAATCTTCCACTGGCGGGTATAAAGTGTCTCACAAAGCACCTGAAATGACTGAGGCAATTGTAATTTAATCTCCCCACCATCGTATGATGAGGTCAACAAAATGTTCTACTAGTAATGTTCTTGACCCTCTGCTTGTCTCTCTTTTTATTTCCCCTGTTGGCCAAATTACTTGCAGTCATGGAATAATTATCACTGCAACACTGATGACACTTAGCCATTCCCAAGTTACTAGATTAGAGTCCTGTTTGTCTGCTGTGAAAGACTGGATGTCACGTAATGTCCTGCTGATAAATTCTGATAAAACTAAGAAGCCCAGAATCTTGATGTTACATTTGATTTAGTCCGACTCACAGGATGTAGCCTGTGGCTGTAAACCAGCCACTGACTGACTATACTAGACTGGTATTCTCCATCCTTTTTGCTATCTGAGTGTCACCGTTTCCGAAACCCCTTCACACACTGAAAATGGCAAGTTGTGACAAAGTTTTGGATCATGCTGTAAGGCATGCCTGCGTTGTTCTTTTGGTGAATTGTTGTAATGATCTACATCAGTGGTTCCCAATTGGTGGGTCGCGGTCCAAAAGTGGGTTGGGGGTCCATTCTGAATGGGCCGCAAGTGACTCGAAAGTGTGTCAAGTTTGTAAAAAACACACTTTATTTTCAAGTACAGTGAATTTCCAGCACAGAGCTTGTATTTTTAAGTACTGTTTGCGGCTGTGGAGTGAGTGACAGCTAACTGTAGAGACAGCAAACTAGCTCGATGACATGGGCAAACGCAAGTATAACGCTGAATATATTGAAAAGCCCAGATTCCATCTCGCAGGACTCCCATGCCCGATGTTGTTCTGTTTTCTGACACGACCAGTCAGAGTTTATTTGCCACATCTTTTTTCCAAGGCAGGGGCATACAACAGTGACACTGGCTTTACCAATTTACCAACTTTTTCTGACTTCATACAAGCTTCAGTGGTATCGTTGTAATAGTGTTCTGCAAGGGCCACACACAGCCAGTAAATCGTCTGGGGTTTTAACAGATCCATTGAGCTCCTCCAGAGCTAAAATATAGTCAGGGTTCACCTCTAGGGCATCGATTATCAAATTATGTTTGTCTTTTCTTAACAGTAAAGGTTGAAACACACACACTTGACACATTTGTGACATCAATGTTTTCTTTTCTTTTGTATTGCTGTCAGGCCTGCCAGCTGCTGGTACTAAAAGTCTTCAGATGGTTAAGAACGCTTCAGCTAGAACTTGAGCTAAAACTAGAAAATTTGACAGCATTATGCCACTTTTACCTCCTCTTTATTGGTTCACTGTGCCCGTGTCAGATCAGACTCTAAGATGTTTCTGATGACTTACAAAATTCCTAGGAAAAAAGGTTGTGTGACTGTTTTGTGTTTGTCAGCACTTGGAAGTTGCTTGACGAATCCACATCCTTCATATATCTTTTGATCAATAACTAATATTGTTGTCCAAACTGTAATTTTACTATTTCAATTTATTCTGTACAGTCATCATCTAGTGTTTCTTCCTGGTTTCTTCCACTTTTTTCCTCCTTAAGAGGATTCATTGGGTTGAGTTTTTTTTCCTCATCTGAATGGAGATCTAAGGACAGAGTGTGTTGTATCCTGCACAGACTGTAAAGCCCCTTGCGGCAAATGTGCGATTTGTGATATTGGGCTATGTAAATAAAATTGACTTGACTTTCTCCGGTAACCTTTCAGTATGATTTTATAGGTTTCTCACAGCAGATTTCTCTGCCTCAAAGCATGTCATTATAAGGTGGGAAAAGATGTGGAACTAAATAAGCACTACAAATGTCAAGAAGAAACACTTTCAGGGGAAGAATTTTCATCATCCAGTTTTCATTTGTATAATGTGGCTTAAATATAGTCATTTTAAAGCACTCAGTTTGATGGCATGTTACAGTGTTATATGCATATGATGGACTTGACTGAGGGAGAGGAGATGTATCCATGATTACCTTTCCCTCATATAAAAACCTTTTATATGTTTCATTAGACTTGCGTCACTCTTGAATACAGCTATACAGCGTTTATATTGAACTTGAAAAGGCAACATAAATCTAAAAATTCATGAGCGCTTGCTGCAAAATTTTTGCCACTGAAGCCTTTTAAATTTCAGATGAGTGCAAGTACTGACAGCAGCTAGAGTAAACTGTGTATGAACAATGGACGTTGTGGGAATTAGAGCTCTATTTGTTGGTAACCTGAAATGATTAAAAGTGTCGACATGGCCAGTGCTGGGTAAGTTTCTTTCAGAACATGTTACATATTGCTACTTACTTTTATTTGAAAGTTGTAATTTAGATTACAATATTACTGTGTGTGGAGTTATGCATTACTGATTACATTTCTTTTGCGTTAACTTTCATCAAAATAACCTCAGAAATACGATTAGGCATTATGAAATGGAAGAGAGTTGTGTTGGTTTATAGCGGGTAATCAAAGCACAGAAGCTCAAGTTTATTACAGTTCATTATACAGCCTAATGAAGGCTCTCCTCCGATATGCAGATCTGGCCCATTCATGCATTCAAATGCAGTGGTTGCCACTTTGCATTAAAATCCCCCCCTTATACTAACAATAGTGTGTTGATATCAAACAATTAATAGATTTTATGAGATAGGGATGAAGATTTGTAGGTATGAAACACAATAGACAAATGCTGAGGTTAGCACAACAAGCAGGTTTGCATGCGAGTTCATCACTATGACAAACGCAAATGAAACACTAGAGCTGGAAGACCCAACTGCAGGTTGTCAGTCAGCTAACAGCAGCAGAGAAAGAGTTGTATGACAAGGACAGTGTGTCTGTGTTTCCCCATCGCGAAAAAAAACCTACTATGCTTTCTACGGCATCACCCAGATGTGCCTATCACCAGGACGGGGACAAACCAAACCAGAACCCAACTCTTTATCTCCTCTAATGTCAAGCAGACTTCAATGCAATTGCAGAACAGGATACGCTGTACATGTGGTAGATATGTGGGTCCAAACCCATATTCGGCGGTATCACCCAGATGCACCCTTCTGTAATGTAGCCTATAATGACACGACAAGACACGATTTTTTTTTTTTTTTTTGGTGGCACACTGGCAGAGGTGGTGCAATTTGGATGGATGAAGAATGAAAACTATAAACACTTAAGTTCAAGTGGTACCATGTTACTTTACATAGTAATTATATCACCCAAAATCCTACTAGTAACATGTTATATAACTTTGTCACTGTTAATAGTAATATGTTTCTGTTTTGAGGTAATGCATTACCCTGAACACTGGGTATGGACTACTGTGACAACAGGACAACAATACTGTTGATCTGTTTAACAGCATTTTTTTTACTTCAAATCATGGAAATCAGGATGCTACCTCTCTTTTCTCTTTCTGTTGAGTGCATTGAAAATGCCAAACTGACCAAGATTGTATTTGAATGAATTCATGAAGAGCATGTCTCAACCTACAGCAGATTTATGAGGGCAGATTGTCGACCTCAGAAAATGAATGACTTTTTGGAAAGCAATGCAAAGCAAACCCAGCCAACTCTGCTGGACTGAAGTTGGAAAGTGGTCTGAATCCGTATGGCTTTACTCAAAATAACCCTGAAATATTCTGATATCATTCATGATTAAAACTTTTCGTAAAACTGAGTGACAATCAACTAACTTTAATCTGGATTTTCGGGGGATTTCCTGGAGCTGAATTTTTCCTGCACAGCTTTGGGACTTACAGCTGTGCCTTCAATTGAAATAATTTTGTCTCTCTTCTTTCCTTCTCCATGTTTGACAGACCTTCCGCCTCCGGCCACAAGGGAACGCCCTCCAGGGTGTAAGACGGTATTTGTCGGGGGTCTGCCTGAGAATGCCACTGAGCAGCTCATCGTGGAGGTCTTTGGACAGTGTGGGGATATTGCCGCCATCAGAAAGAGCAAGAAAAACTTCTGCCACATCCGATTTGCAGAGGAGTTCACTGTGGACAAGGCTCTCCTTCTCTCTGGTAAGATACCTTACTTTTTTTAAGTACTCATGTAAAATATTCCATCCTGTGTGATGTCTTTTTATTTGAGAAGGAACGCTTTATGTTCAGCAAACCTTCTGTTACATACAGTACAGGCCAAAAGTTTGGACACACCTTCTCATTCAATGCGTTTTCTTTATTTTCATGACTATTTACATTGTAGATTCTCACTGAAGGCATCAAAACTATGAATGAACACATGTGGAGTTATGTACTTAACAAAAAAAGGTGAAATAACTGAAAACATGTTTGATATTCTAGTTTCTTCAAAATAGCCACCCTTTGCTCTGATTACTGCTTTGCACACTCTTGGCATTCTCTCGATGAGCTTCAAGAGGTAGTCACCTGAAATGGTTTTCCAACAGTCTTGAAGGAGTTCCCAGAGGTGTTTAGCACTTGTTGGCCCCTTTGCCTTCACTCTGCGGTCCAGCTCACCCCAAACCATCTGGATTGGGTTCAGGTCCGGTGACTGTGGAGGCCAGGTCATCTGCCGCAGCACTCCATCACTCTCCTTCTTGGTCAAATAGCCCTTACACAGCCTGGAGGTGTGTTTGGGGTCATTGTCCTGTTGAAAAATAAATGATCGTCCAACTAAACGCAAACCGGATGGGATGGCATGTCGCTGCAGGATGCTGTGGTAGCCATGCTGGTTCAGCGTGCCTTCAATTTTGAATAAATCCCCAACAGTGTCACCAGCAAAACACCCCCACACCATCACACCTCCTCCTCCATGCTTCACAGTGGGAACCAGGCATGTGGAATCCATCCGTTCACCTTTTCTGCGTCTCACAAAGACACGGTGGTTGGAACCAAAGATCTCAAATTTGGACTCATCAGACCAAAGCACAGATTTCCACTGGTCTAATGTCCATTCCTTGTGTTTCTTGGCCCAAACAAATCTCTTCTGCTTGTTGCCTCTCCTTAGCAGTGGTTTCCTAGCAGCTATTTGACCATGAAGGCCTGATTGGCGCAGTCTCCTCTTAACAGTTGTTCTAGAGATGGGTCTGCTGCTAGAACTCTATGTGGCATTCATCTGGTCTCTGATCTGAGCTGCTGTTAACTTGCAATTTCTGAGGCTGGTGACTCAGATGAACTTATCCTCAGAAGCAGAGGTGACTCTTGGTCTTCCTTTCCTGGGTCAGTCCTCATGTGTGCCAGTTTCGTTGTAGCGCTTGATGGTTTTTGCGACTCCACTTGGGGACACATTTAAAGTTTTTGCAATTTTCCAGACTGACTGACCTTCATTTCTTAAAGTAATGATGGCCACTCGTTTTTCTTTAGTTAGCTGATTGGTTCTTGCCATAATATGAATTTTAACAGTTGTCCAATAGGGCTGTCGGCTGTGTATTAACCTGACTTCTGCACAACACATCTGATGGTCCCAACCCCATTGATAAAGCAAGAAATTCCACTAATTAACCCTGATAAGGCACACCTGTGAAGTGGAAACCATTTCAGGTGACTACCTCTTGAAGCTCATGGAGAGAATGCCAAGAGTGTGCAAAGCAGTAATCAGAGCAAAGGGTGGCTATTTTGAAGAAACTAGAATATAAAACGTGTTTTCAGTTATTTCACCTTTTTTTGTTAAGTACATAACTCCACATGTGTTCATTCATAGTTTTGATGCCTTCAGTGAGAATCTACAATGTAAATAGTCATGAAAATAAAGAAAACGCATTGAATGAGAAGGTGTGTCCAAACTTTTGGCCTGTACTGTATACAGTTTGTTATTTTATGTCACAGCCTCACTGCTGTGCAACAGAAACTCCAGCAAACCTCAACCTTGTTTTTAGGTATTGGTTTACGTTAGGCTTAAAGGTCAGAGGATAACAGCTTTCTTTCGTACTGGCCTGGACAATATTGAATCTGTAGAGACTGCTTGTATTGTCAGTCCACTGCTATCATTGCCGCAGCACTGCTTCACCTCAGGTGGAGGAAGAATGATGAGCTGTTAACCTTTACTCTGATGGAAATGAAAGGGCTGATATCCATCATTCAGCACTACAATTCTCCAGCCTCACACATGCACCCGGTACCATCTGACAGATGGATAAATAGATGGAGGGGATGGATGGACAGGTAGATGGAAAGTTTGCCGCATTCCATACAAATAGTTTGGAAGTGAACAGTGGATATGAAGGAACAAGAGTGTCGTGCGGGTTTGGAAGCCAGATTAAGACGAAATTAATGGACTCCTGCTACTTTATCAGTTGCAGTCCTTTGTGAATATTCACACATTTATTATTGGTGCTTCTCTAACTTAGCTGTATTTCCTACATCTGTGTATAGCTTGTATAATTTTTTGAATATACAGCTGCAGTTTTGTCTTCCTCTTTTGTTCAGTGTTACCTCGTGTGTTTTATGGTCCTTACACGTCCTGCACTTGGTGCGTAAATCCGTCATTGTGTAAATGGAGTAAATTAGCTGCAATTTAACAGGTCAAAAATTCTCCTGCACCCTTTATCACAAAAGTAAAAGACCATGGCGGATTAATGAAGACTTGTGAACAGATGTACACTTGATTTTGGGAAACTAAAAAAGAAGGAAGGGTCATTATGTCATTATCTGACAACATTACAATTGTGTATTTGTACCAGATTTTGGTGCCACTTCTATAGAAGTAAATGGGGCAGACGTGGCAAGTCTCACTATTACTCACTGAAACATTCTTCCACAAATAAAAGAGCACACATTACGTGATGTTTGCTGATGTCTCGATCTAAATGTGCATGTTTGTTTTCCTAGTTATTGGTCTCCAAACAGATTCATGGCTCTGTCCTGCGGCTGCATGTAGCGCAACTCACGTCATGATACATGACCAAACAGGGCCTGTCATATTGTGACTGACTGGACTGCATTTATAACCACATCAATTTATTAATGACTCTGATTATATCATACCAGACTCAATATGGCCTGTCAAAGTTAGGTAAACATTCTTAAGTGAAACTAGTATTTCAAGAACTTCGTAAGGGAAACAAAACATATTTTTGGCTGAAGAATCATTACAGTAATTATGACAAAACTTTTACACAAATGTCTAACAGGATAAAATTATTAAGTGCTGACCTTTTATAACCAAAGGTCAAAGGTCAACTTCACTGTGACATCATAATATTCTGCAAAAATACTTTCTTGCCATTATTCAACATCATTTCTCAGTACCAGAAGAGGAGACATTTAGCCAGATACTGAATGGGTGACACTAATCTTGAAACTGTGCTGCTTGTAAAGATCATCTGTGCTGCTGTATGGAAGATGTGTATGAGGCATCCATGTTTTCACAGACCTTTGCCTTGGCCAGTGAGTCAAAAGGTAATTTGGGACACTGATAAAGACTGGTGATGGGTTACAGTGAGACTTGTCAAGTTCGCCCCATTAACTTCAACAGAAGTGGCACCAAAGTCCGTCATCAGTGCAAAATTCGAATGCTGTCATTGATGTAATGACCTTTCCTGTTTTTTTAGTTTTCTTGGCTCAAGTAGGGAACATCTGGGAGGGTAAAATTGAAAAGAAGTGCAGGGTTTATAGTTAATGTTAGGTGTTAATGGCCAAACCTGCTGTAGACTGTTGGATTAAACCCGTCGTTACCATCCCTGCAGCACCCCCTCGATGAATCATACGTGATCAGGCTTTATTACGCTTTAATATTCCCCACAGTAACTGTTTTCTTCCATTTACTTTGTGATGCAGAGCAATGGCATGCTACGCACATACTTATAGAACTTGAGTTACATCACGGTAACCTCTAATTCACCTTGTCTCATTACAGAACAGGAAACTCTTTTTGTGTTGTCGCTATGTTTACATTCTTTTATTTCCTGTGATGGGGAGTGGGGTTTGCGATGAGCAGAAGGGTTCACAGTGGAGATGCCTTTGCTAGATGTGTGTTACTGAGAAGGAGCCCTTTTTTCAACTTACTGAAAGGTGTTTTTACTGTAAACAATCCACCGGCATCAGAAACTTAAAAGTGGCATTTGTGTGACAGCTCACAAAGAGCCGTTCTGTCACTCAACTTTTTTCCACCTGTCTATATAATTAGAGTCACAACAGTCACCCTCTACCTGGAGGGAACCCATTTACCAACAAAACTTTGGAGGATTGAGGTATTACACCTCTTCAAGATAATTCAATAAACTACCTTTTGTTCTACTTCAGAGTGAGGTCAGCTTGTAAACTGTGACTGGGCAATAAACAGGGATTCAGTTTGGTACTTTGAGAAATCCAAATCATCCATCCATCTATCCATTTTCATCCGCTTATCCGGGACCAGCAGGCTAAGCAAAGCACCCCAGATGTCCCTCTTCCCAGCAACATTTTCCAACTCCTCCTGGGGGACCCCAAGACATTCCCAGGCCAGACGAGTTATGTAATCCCTCCAGCTTGTTCTGGGTCTTCCCCGGGCCTCCTACCAGTGGGACGTGCCTCGAAACACCTCCGATGGGAGGCGTCCAGGAGGCATCCTGATCAGATGCCCAAACCACCTCAACTGACCCCTTTCGACGCGAAGGAGCAGCAGCTCGACACCCCACGGAGGAAACTCATTTCGGCCGCTTGTATCCACAATCTCATTCTTTTGGTCACTACTCAGAGCTCCTGACCATCCAAATCATCAGTATATACATTTCAGTACAACAGTGGACCCTGCTGCACATTTCCTAAATGTTTATTACCACCTTTCCATTACAGACAAAACATTAGTCTGTAAGTCTGGCTGGCAGGCCTGACTGCAGCTATCAGTATCATAGTCCTGCATTGGAAACTCCCTTATGATATCTCAAGTATTCATTGGCTTCGGAGCTTTTTGGACATTTCTTACCTGGAAGTAGCAAGACGCAGTGATGCACGACGAAACACTTTTTTCATGTGACACACTTGATATCTTACTTAAAGGATCTTCTGTCTAAATAAGGATGCTCTGTGTTATTGCTTCACATCATGTTGGTTAGTGAAAGAGACAGAAGAGGGCCATCGACAATCTGTTGTAAAGTCTTTGTTTATGTTGCAATAAAATACATGCGATAAAAAAGTACTAAGAGCCATAAAAGCTTGGGATAAGCACACATTTGCTCAAGCTGAGACTTGCTTAGATGTGTATTCAGCTCAGTTTGCCAGACCGATTTCTACACCTTATACAATTTGCTCTATTTCAATCTGAATACACCATTATACTTAACAATCATTGTTTCTTTGCTACAGATGGAGGCCATGACATGAGGCCATGACATTGTTATATGTCAATATGTCATAAGTATGTCAATATTTATGTAACTTGGCCAAGGTTATCGTGAGACAGTATCTTTACCACCAGGAAGTCTATCTCGGTTTCTCAGTTACTGCTTGAGCTCTATGCTCCCTGACTCATAGTATCACCTGCTCTCATCGTCACCCTTATGGGGTAACACCACCGGACAAATTAATTTGTTCACATTTAAGACCCCTCAACCTTCGAGGTGCTGCTTTCACTGCTCCTTGAGAAGAGGAGGTGTCTCTGTTCATCATGTGACACAGGCTTATGATTTTTTTTTTTTTTTTTTTATCTCCTTCCAGCAGCTTCTCCTGCACAGACGCCTTAAATCTCTCGATGTGAATGGCTGGCCGTATATTCCCTCCTCACAAAGCTCATTTAAAAGACCAGCCACTGCAATAATACCCTCTGCATTATTTAATGTGCGTGTGAGTCTGTGTGTGATTTCATCTACCTCTTCCCTACAGTAAGACTGGAGCTATAAGTCCATATATTAGCCAGATGACAGACCTGTGTAGCTTTCTCATAAATACTACTTTCAGTAACACTCGGGCCTCTTCTCCCAAAACACAGTCACACACACACACACATGCACATTGCTACAGCAGCCTTGGCACACTGAAGTCTCCCTTTATGAAAGATTGAAGCAAACCGAGAGCCTTCAGCAGGGAGAGCAGACTTGAGAAACAACTCAAAACTCACACTCATATCTCTCTACTGCTCGCACCGACGCCCAACTTTATCTCCACTTTTCTCCGATGAGAGTGTGGGTTCATGTGTAGTCGGAGGAAAGGCTGGCCCAGGGCTTTCTAAGGCTACATCCACAATAAAAGGTTTTCATTTTAAAACAGTGTTTCAAAACAAAATCATATTAGTGTGGATGTTGCTTTAGGCTGATGACAAAAGATGTCGCCTTGGGGCCCTAACGCACCAAACCAAATGTCAGCTGTCAATATCGGGCTGTCCGTTAGCATCTGTCTCCATAGTTTGGGCAGTGTGTCTCACACCATTGCCACAAGTTGGCCCATGTCTGTTCTTTTTTGGCCAATGCAGCATGTGGACTCGATGCTGGAGACAGCAGGGCTCCGTTCAGCTTCCTGCACGAGAAGAGAAATGGAAGAGAGGAAAGAAAACAAATGACCAAAGTTGAGAGGGTGTGTTAAGGGGTAGCTTTTTGGTCGAGACACAAGCGACGCAGCAGTCTGCTGTCATTGTCACTAGTTCTTTGACATCAATGTTGTGTGTCTGGGCCATTAGGCTACATCCACACTAATACGTTTTTGTTTTAAAACACATAACTATGCTATAGCCAGCATTTTGAAACTCCTAAAACGCAAACCTTTGAAAACACTGATGACTCTTTTAAGCTTGAAAACTCCAGGGTTGCATTTTAGTCTGGACGGGATGAGACTTTGAAAACAATGATGTAGACATCTATGTCCACTTCCTGATTGGATCTTATCATGTCGAGACAAAACATTGTAGCTAGGTTTTTAATGATGTATTCTTCATGTGTGCGTACTCCTTTTCCATGGCCATAGCTCCCTCCTGTCATAGATAATGCACCTGGTGGCACAGTTAGCACTGTCACCTCACAGCAAGAGGGTTCCTGGTTTGATCCTGTGTGTGGGAGACATGCAGGTTAATTGGTGACTCTAAATTGTCCGTAGGTGTGAATGTGAGTGTGAATGGTTGTCTGTCTCTATGTGTCAGCCCTGCGATAGTCTGGTGACCTGTCCAGGGTGTACCCTGCCTCTCGCCCAATGTCAGCTGGGATAGGCTCCAGCTCCCCCGCGACCCTCAAGAGGATAAGCGGTTAGAAAATGGATGGATGGACGGTTACGCTGTGGCATGGCAACTTAAAGTAGATGCAATTAAGGCATCTTAGCTGAAAAAACAGTACCATCAGCTCCCAGCTTGGTGTTTCTTGAGGAGCGCTTGGCATCTTCAGCTGGGGAAAAAAAAATGCTGTGGTGGACATGTAGCCTTAGTATGGATGGCGATTATTTCTGAAATGGTGCTAAAACACTTGTGTGTAGGGAGATTGTTTTCATTTTAAAACACTGTTTTAAAGTGAAAACGTGTTAGTGTGGATGTGGCCCTGAGCTTGTTTCCCAGTTTGTCAGTTCACACTGTTCTGTAAACGGCCCAGTCTCTCACAGATCATTCAGACCAATCAATTAACAAAATGAGTGTGATTGCTCTCCATGCCCACACACAGGCACTGGAATGAGCTTTGAGTGTCAGGTGGATGGCAGTGGGGCAATCCTGGGCTACTGCTGTACTTAGTGTCTCACGCTTGTGTACATACAGAATTAAAAGCTCAAGTGACTTGCTCGGCTTTTTGGCTTTTGTCTGTCTAGTACACACAGACACACAGTGAGAACAAAGAGGATGTGTAGATCACCTTGTTTCTTCGTATCTGAAAGAAAATGAGGACAACCTGATCAATTTAGCCTTGTCAGATACCTGTGTGAGTGTGCATGTTTGTGTGTCCCTTTTGTCTTCCTATGTGTTTATATCTGCCTATTTGTGCTTGTTATTCTGCTTGTGCTTATCTCTGTCTTTTTACTGTACATCAGAATCAGAGTAGGTGTTTATAGAAATGGATATTTCACCCTGTTGCGACTCTCACCCAATCAAAAAAATGCCTCAGTTATCTTTCATTTCCTGTGTTTTCTCTCTGTCTCTACAGGTTACCGTATTCGTTTGGGCTCCAGCACAGACAAAAAAGACTCTGGTCGGCTCCACGTGGACTTCGCTCAGGCCAGAGACGACCTCTATGAGTGGGAGTGTCGGCAGCGCATGTTGGCCAGAGAGGAGAGGCACCGGCGCAAGATGGAGGCGGATCGCCTCCGGCCGCCCTCCCCTCCTCCCATCGTCCACTACTCAGAGCACGAGTGCAGTGAGCTTGGAGATAAGATCAAAGGTTTGTAGACAAACATTAAACCTGCAGACAACCTGAGTGCACTCAGAGTATGCCGCCACAGTGTATGCAGCCAGTAAGAGTTTGCAGCTTCAGTGGCCAACTGAACAGAAACATGGAACAGCTCTAACCATTTCACATTAGGCCTAAGGCTAACAAGCCTAAATTTGCCATTGTCATTAGCCATGCTAGCGCCATGCCTTTAAGATGGCAATGTCAGTCGGTTGGTCCATAAACCCTCCTCCTGCAGCTCTCTCTTATGTGCTCAAAGCCACACTCACCAGATGACCACAGGCGTATGCACACAGTAACCTGGTGTTTCCAAGAAATTGATTTATTTAACCCTGTTTCATTGTAGAGTTGCCCTGCTCTCATTTTCTGTTTATTAGACCATAAATGAGACAAGAATTAGCAATCTAGCCACACTCGGGAGAAACACCTTCAGTCAGCGGCTGTGGCAGCTCAAATTTAGCCAGCACCCCCACACCCCCCCACTTCCAGAGCTGCTGCCAGTTCTCCCGTGATGAGGTGGTCTGCAGCAGCGGGGAGTGAGGTGAAGGACACACCTCTGCTGCATAAAAAGCAACAGCTAAAGGCTAAACTATTAGCAACATTTTTTTCTTCACATCTGAAACACTTCTGCAATATTGACAAGTGTATTATTGCATTTATTCTCTGGCTCTATTTTTGATTTTTTCTTGTATGGGTTGCTTTGTTGAACAGCCAATAGGAATGCCCTCTATCTGAAATGACCTGTGATTGGCCAAAGTTACCCGACATGGGCTACATTTTCTACAGACAAAAACAGAGACAAGAGGAGGTGCAGAAGTCCATTTTTCTCTCAGTCCACTTCAATTACAACATGCTCAACATTTATTATGTGATTTGTGCCCAATGACGCCACAATAAAACTGCCTACCCCAGCCTTAACATGTCAAACATCACATGTGCTTGACATTAGCACATTAGCATGCAAATATTAGCATTTAGCATTAACATTCCAGCAGTTTCTGATTCTGATTCTAAACACAACCCATCTCTTTTCTGTGTGTCGATACAGCATTGTGTGTTGGGCTCAGAGCGCTGCTACAACATGAATAACCTGCACTCAATACTGTGCCTGATGAACACACCCTGTGTAGACAGAACATGCTGCTTTTACTGCGCCTCCTGCGTAGAAACAGTGTTTATCTTGTTGCTTGATGACTTAAACGATCAAGGGATTATCAAAATTGTTGCTGATTAACTTTCTGTTGATTCACTTACCAAATAATCACCTAAACCTTTCAGCTAAAATTAAAATAACACGTTCAAAATGTAACCTGACTCAGAGCATTCAAATGTGGACGACCATGCAGGGACGAAAATATGTTTAAATTGAATCTAAATTTATTTAGAGCCAGCAGCGACTGTAATCTAAACACACTTGACATTTCATTAAGTGTTCCTCAGTGTCTGCAGACTTTTTCTCATTTGAGTGTCGTATACTTCTGCTTCCTACCGAGAATTTAAAGTGACTCGATACTTGTTAATCATATTCCTTGACTGTGAGGAGTTGTGCTATAATTTGAAATATTTAAATGCTCTGTGTGGTTGAGTATAGTTCCCATCAGTGTTCAGAGCACATATAAGAAGAGGGTGGGCTGAAGGGGCCTCTGGGATGTGAGAAAATCTTGTTGAGCCATTTAAATTCTTAATGTAATCAAACCTCCATGGCAAGAGATTCCTTGTTGATCCCCAGTGACATTCTTGTCCTTTCTCTCTTTACTGTAACATTAAAGCAAGGAAGGCGCTCACTCTGAAATAGCTGAAGAGATCCACTAGATCTGGAGTGGAAGGTAGATGCCTTCAATTTTTATTCATGTCCTCTAACTGGCTACTTAACAACCACCATTGTCAGAACTGTGGAGGAAAGGTCAATGTTTTTCATTTTCTAGTGATTACACCGACTTTGATTTGATTGCTCAATTCACACATATTTTGGAGTCAGTTTGAATAAAGAAATGAAAGCATGGCAGAACAAAATTAATTGGGAAAAGTTAGTGGATGAGTTCCCAGGAAAATAATATTTTTGCAACACCATTTACTGTGATGTTTTACAGATTTAGATTTTTTTTTCTTGCAGCTGTTCACAGGGATTCTTTTGGTTGTTTACTCAATGACACTCTGCAGTATAGTATCTCTTTGTCTGGTAGAATTGTTATGGTCGGGATAGTTGTCTGCAAATTCAAAGTTACTATCCCATCTGTTCTTTGTCAGAATAGCTTTGACTTATGGATGGATAGAAAAACACAGCCAAACAAAGAGGCCAGAAGTTTTCTAATGGGGTATTTATTTCTGATAAACCAAGTAATAAATTCTTGTATTTCAATTTGTATATTTATGCTTGGGTAATGCCTCAGCTGAAGACCCATTAAATGAGAATCTGAATCCATCTGGCCTCTGGCCATTGTCAGTGATCGAATACCACTAATATTCCTCCAGATTGTCTATTAATAATGCCGCTGCAGGGAGCCATGTATTATGAGACCCGTGTCTGCCTATAAACAAACAGGAACACCTCAGGGATTCATGAGATAACACCTTGATTCAATATCTGTTGCTGTGATAGATCATCATTCATGCAAGCAGTGTGATGGACCCCACTGTGTGCCTGTGTGTGTGTGTGTGTGTGTGTGTGTGTGTGTGTGTGTGTGTGTGCCTTTGAGAGAGACAGAGAGAAATTGAGAGCATCTGCAGAACACAGCTTAAATAAATATAAACCTCCCCAGCTGCTCGATCTGTAAAGATGCTAAGTAATGTTTATGTGTGTGTGTGCATGATGCATGTGTTTTGCACACTGACGTCTACATGTGGGAGCGTGTTCCCTCCTGTGCTCCTCCGACTCGTAAGCAGCCCAACGAGGCCATAGAGGACAGGACAACCACGGTGGAATAATAACAAAAGAAATCAATAAAGTCTCCTGACATCATCTGATTATTCACCAGACAAAGCAGGAGTACTGTTAAACAACCCGAGCTTTGTAAACAGTAGCTATATAACACCATACTCACCTTTTCTGTAGACACTTGGCGAGGGTTGTTTACCGGAGATATTTATAGGAAAGACAGGAGTTGATTGATTTTACCCTGACACTGTTCTTCTTATTTAACCTCCTGCTCTTTTATGCTCAGCGTATAGATATGATAATTTGTCTCCTCGATCATTTATGTAATCCATTCGCTTCCTTTCATGGCAATAAGTTCTTGAAGTTATTTTCATCTCATAATCTTCATGTCCTCATTCTTTCTCCGGAGCCACTTGTGTGTGTACGACCTGGAGACAAACCAGCAAACAACTCCAATAGATGTTGCTATGACAGCTACGACAAACATTAAAGTAATGTACACACATTAATTACATTGAACTTCAGCCATTGAGATGATTTTTGTCACTTGTCCTCCTTTGTGAAACACTTTTCTTGTGCGTACGTTGTGAAATATTTTCCTTATTTTAGCTGATGTTGAACTTGTTGCCTCCTGCATGTTGCTGATCATCAAATGGTTCCAGAGTAAATCTGCAGAGGCAGCTTTTCTTTGCTCCTGATGACCCAAACTCTTTCCTTCTGTCACCTTTTTGGCCAGGCAAAACTTTAGTTGGCAGAGGCTGCTCTGTTATTGTACTGCTGTGTTATCGATTTTGGCCACATTTCTTTTTCTCCTTTCCTCCTCCCCCTTTTATTTAACTTTCTACGTTCCTCCTATCTTGTGCAAGTGTCTGAGAGTAACCTTACTTGACCCTCTGTCATTTAATGTAAAGTCCCATGCCAAAAAAATCTTGGTGTAATCTTTGATTCTGGTGTAAAATTTAATAAACAAAAACTCAGTTGTCAGCACTAGCTTCTGCCATCTTAGGTTACTTGCAAAATTAAATTTGTTCCTGCCAGTGAGAGATTTGAAGACCTGGGGCTCCCACTAGCTCATCTGGTAGCGCAGGTGCCCCTTGTTCAAAGGCTGTGTCTTTGCCGCAGTGGCCACAGGCTCTAACCCATGGCCCTTTGCTGCATGTCATCTCTCCCCTGTTCACACTATAGCTGTTCCACTGAATAAAGACTAGAATATACTATACCCCAAAAAATATTTTAAAAAAGATTGGGGAAACTTAAAGGGATAGTGCACCCAAAAATGAAAATTCAGCCATTATCTACTCACCCATATGCCGAGGGAGGCCCTGGTGAAGTTTTAGATCAATTATGTGTTTTTTTTTTGTGGACGTTTTAATCTGGGGCGCCGTCAGCCTGCATTAGGTGGAGTTGTGCTGCTACCCACTCTCCCCTGGGATCTCCACAAGTGTTGTGAGGACTCTAAAACTTCACCTGAGCCTCCCTCGGCATATGGGTGGGTAGATAATGGCTGAATTATCATTTTTGGGTGCACTATCCCTTTAAGTCCACGCTTTTATTCCCCCTACCCTCGATTATTGAAATTCCCTCTATGTAGGAATCAGTCGGTCAGCCCTATCTGACCTGCAGCTTGTTCAGCATGCAGCAACACTTCTCACTGCTACCAGGAAGAGAGAACATATCTCCCTTTACTGGTCTCTCTTGACTGGTTACCAGTGAAGTACAGATTAAGGTAGAAATTCTTTTGCTTGCCCTTAAAATACTGCATGGACTAGCACCAGGTTACATCTCTTAACCACTCGTCCCCCTTCCACCTCCTGACCCCACAGATCTGGTGACCAATAACTACGCTCCATTCCATGCACTCAGATAAAAAACAATGGTGTTGGAGCCACAATAACATTCTTTGTATTTGTTTTGGTTCATGTTTAACTAATAGTGACTACATGTAAATAGATGCAGTTTTGTTGTTTGTACACGGGGTGGTGCATGTTGTTTATGAAATAGCGATGATGTGAAGGTGATGAAGGAGACTCCGCTGACACCGTCTTGCTTGTATACAGAAAAGGTTTATTACAAGAAGTACAGCATCAAATCAAGCACCTAGGATTGCCTAAGAGAGGGTTCGAAGCCAATATGAACTGCTCTGAATAACAGCTCCAACTACCCTGCATATATAGGTTGGTTGTTTTTGTGAAATGTGAGACAAAATGAAACAGATGACAGAGAGACACCCTAGATGGACTTCACCAATCCTTGACCTGGGCCATAAATACCCTCTTGACCTGGGCCATAAATACCTTCTTGACCCTGGGCCCCTAACTGGGCCCCTAACTGATCATCAGACCCAGGACGTCACGTACCATGTAGAACTTCAGATACTACATGCACTAGAGCAGGAAAACAGAGGTAATGTAGGTAAGGTGCAGGTGATGAGCAGCAGGTGTGTCACGGCCGGGGTAAGCAGTTTTTTGACCATGTGAAGTGTGGCTGCATGAAGAAACTGGAATTGATGAATAGAAACTTGGACACTTAACTGTTGAATGGACACTAACCTGTGACTGACTCTGAAACTGTTGAGTGGAAACCTACCTGAGATGAATTACGCAGTGTTTCCCATTAATTAACGAAACTATGGCGGCCCGCCATAGTTTAATTTGACCCGCCATAGTTTCTAAATAAAAGATTTAGGCTGCCGAAAGTATTGACTTCTCATGATATAAATAATATCTTGAACGCCATAGCGTTTTGTGCCGATGTGCTCAGGCTGTCAGATCCAGTGCTCGACAGTGCGAGCGTTTCACTCGACTAAAAATACGTGTGTGCGAACTGTAAAAAATATTTAGGGGCACATGTGCGCATAAAAAAAAATCAGCTAAAGCAGCCTATATTTTTGTCAATAAAAATATATGATAATCTAACCGCAAATGTTGGAGGAACTCCAGCCGCCTTCCCTCTTCCCTCTTCCCCGTGTGACACGGTTATGGGCGGTTTTCCAAGCCACTGT